AGTTTCTTTCGGAAAACAAAGCGCGTGGCCGTGCGCGCCCGTCTCAGAAGTGATAAGGTGTAGAATGCGTGGTGGCGGGTAGGTGTCACCACCATCTCGTCTTAGCAAAGCGTTGGAAACACTCCGCCTTCCGTGCAAGCGTTGCATGGTAAGCGCAGCGTGATAAGCGCTACGGTCCTTACAATTACTTATGTATGCCTTTTCTAGTAAGAAATGCATATGCAGAATATATGCGTATTGTTATGGTGCCCCAGACATGCGCAATAATTGTTTTTAATGGACAATTGCACAAGCATGAACGCTTAACCTTGAGCAACATTGGTGGTCGCTGCGGATGGGGTCTGCCGTTTCAAGTACCCGATGCCGGTAAGAGTGGACAAACAGACAAACGTACAGACAGGCAGGCAGACAGACAGACCAAAATTTTTGCGTCGAAGGTCCCCAAGAAAGAGAAAATACCAGGTGGGAAATAGCGGACGTCGCCGGCATGGCTTATCTGATCCAGACGGTCGCTGGTCGCTACTACGATAGCGTCTTATCAAGTATCCGCGTCTTTAGCGCTATACGGGTTGAAGCGCTCTCCGGCAGCGCAGACATTTTGGAATTATGCTAGCGGGTGGCAGCTGCTTGTCCCACCTTTAGTCCGTGGAGCCTCTGGTTCGATGGCTGTATGGTTGTTAGAAAATTCAGTGTGTTTCGCTGCCAAAGAAACAAGAGGATATCCGCATTTCTTCCGGCTTCACGGAAACCTAGAACCAAGGTGAGTGTGTAGTACCTACTAGTTTTCTTGTGCCTGCCACTCCAAGACATTTCCCGACTCGTGTGTAAATATATGTTGGCTTCATCTGCCTGCGTCAGAGGATGTATGCCTGCTTTTCTTGAGGTATAGCATATTGCGTCTCGCGAAGCCGCTGTTTCGGCGAGTGAAGCCGACAGTACTCTCGTGAACAACACGAAGATTTGGCTGGAAGGTTAGAACTTTACTTGAAAGGCACTCAGGACAAGTGAGTTCCTTCCTGCAGTGGGGCAGGTCGGCTGGGAACATAAGCGTGGTGTTTTGACTATAATTGCGCTGGGGGAGGAGGGCAAGCAGAGATTGCGGGGGAATGGGGGGGGGGGGGGGGCTCACTTTTTCCCACATTCATCGTGCTGCTCCTGCTTGTCGAAATGTTCCGAACAAGAATGTCCACCTACTTGCATGTGCAGGGCAACCAATTAACTAGTTGTAAGTCGCCGCTTTGCGTGTTCATCATCTTCTCGGTGTTGCGGTGTGGTTCCCCATCAATCAGTCTGTTTTCAGAAACAGTAGCGTATCAGTATCTTTATCTTTATTTTCGAGTCTCTTTGTAGAAGTCGCTTGTAATTTTTTTCAGCGCCGTGTATATATATATATACACTTATTCGATTACAGCTGCGTAAGCGACAGCGTAAACGGCCATCTGCAGCGACCTCTTTTTTCGCTATGGGCACCACGCATACTTTAGGAGCCGCCGCCATGCCGCTGCAGTCACCTTCTGCCTAGAGTGCTAAAGCGGCTCTGGTTACTGCGCCGTGCTTTGTTGCTTCGTTTGAGTCGCTTACTTCACCGTTTGACTTCAAAAGACGGTAAATCGCTATTAGCCGTGAGAGAACTGTGGTGTTTGTGTGTGTGCTTTTTTTTTTTTCACCAGACTTCGTGTATTCTCATGTGAACGCGTCCACATCAAATTCTTGGCGAAAACGACGAAAACGTTAAGCGAAGCTGCACGCTTGTAGCGTGGGCCGCTTCGCCCACTAAACGATCACAGCATATCACCCTAGGGATAACGCGCCCCCCAACTCGGCGGTAGCTTGAAACCACGATGTAAGAATGCTTTAGGTGAGCGAACTCCGGGACTATCAGCTGCCCGATGATGTTCTGCTTCGCAAAGATCCCGAGACATACCGCTACGAGCTTTGCCTCTGCCTTCCTCCGCAGGCATGTAGCGGCGCACATTTATCGTCGACACAACACCCCCGCCTAACCACCAACCTCCTCTCTTATCACCCCCTCTTTCGCGGCGTCGCGGGGTTTACATCGCGCGATAACACGGTTTTCTCGTATTTCGAAACCATCGCCCACGTGCCTGCTGTGCTTTGCAGAATTTGCCAGCAGCCCGCCATAGTTCTCAGTCCGGCGAGCCATCTATCGGCACGCCGCAAACGAGAACATAATCGGTCCCTGCTCGCCGAGCACTCGCTTCGCGGCGTTCGCTCACCTAAGATATTCTTGCACCGTGCTTGAAACAGGTGACACCAGTGAAGAGAGTCACGCGGCCGCTGTAAGGGTGTCATCGTGGAGTGACGCCTTATGCTATGATATTTTTATTGTCTAACAATCGCGGCGCGCTGATTACGTTGATAACGCGTGCGGACCGTCACTCTGCCCACTGATCAAGCACGAAAAGCATTGGCATCCCAAAGGGCTTCGTTGGGCGACTGCTCCCCTGTTCGAGCGGCTGATAACATACTTCAAAATCTGCGCTTATTACTTCTAGAGGCGCCTTCATGAGTTACTTCGGCACGGAGCCGTTACAGCTTCTAAATATCGTTGTTGTGATGTGCCCGAAGGTGTTGTTTAAATATAATCACGCGACTGGCTAACCTCCCCGTCTTTCCACTCAAACTTTCTTCCTAATCACCCGACAACGAAGGTAGCAATTCTGCATAGTTTAATACCACTGATATTTGCCATATTACCTATATATGTTATTTGGATGCGTCGTTGCACAAATATGGTACCTATAGTTACATATGGGTACAACGGTTGACATGCGACCGACCAATTTCATGCGGATAGTGCTACTGTCCCGCATAAACAGTGTCCAATGTTCCGATCACATGGATAATTCTCCTCCTCCGTCACCCTCTCTGGAAGCGTGCCGCATTCCAGGGCCAGATCAAGTGGCCCTGCTTTTAGAGTTCTACTCGTCAAACCTCACTGCCCTGCCCCTGTACCCCTGTTTTCTCACTGGAATTTGTCATATGCTGCCCTAGTCACATCACCTTGTAGGCATAAAACTTTACTTGGTGTCCTTGTCACCGGCTTAAAGAAGGAAGCTGAATGTCTTATTTTTGTTTTTTGAAGCAAATATAGTATTCTGGTCAGACATTTTTTGAATAAAGTGATTTTAGAGTGATAGCTGTAAATGTAACGAAAACGACAGGCTGAGTATGGTCTCCTTCTCGTGTTTTAAATGCGAAGCATTTCTTCGCGAACTTCGGCGACCTTGAGCGTATCTATCTATCTATCTATCTATCTATCTATCTATCTATCTATCTATCTATCTATCTATCTATCTATCTATCTATCTATCTATCTATCTATCTATCTATCTATCTATCTATCTATCTATCTATCTATCTATCTATCTATCTATCTATCTATCTATCTATCCGCCTACGACTTTTAGCTCTCCTGGCCGTTTCTATAATGGTATCGATACCAAAATCAGTAAGGCTTAGAATGACTGTATAATGAGCCTAAGTGACTAGTAATAACAGGAAAATCTTGACATGTATGTCATAAATGTCATGATTCACATTTCATGGTCTTGCTGCTCTTGCGGCGGTTTCATTCACATGACATGTTTGCGGACTGGTATGGTATGACATGACTGCGTGGCGAACATAAGGGACAGATCCTAATATGAAAATAAAACATGCATGTCATGTAACAACATGATTACATGCCACACTTATGATGGGCTCACAGCTGTTTTGATAGTTTCGCATATACCGAATTCGGTATTAGGGAACGTGGATGGATGACGAAGCTATGTGACTGGTGCAATCATGATAATCATGAGATGTGTGTCATGTAACATGACTACTTGCCACGCTCACGATGCGCTGGCGGCCGTTTCGCTAGCTTCACGTGTACCAAATTTGGTATTACGAGACGTGAATAGATGATGAAGGTATGTGACTGGTGCAGTCATGATAACCATCAGGTGCGTGTCGTGTAACATGACTACATGCCACGCTCATGATGCGCTCGTGGCCGTTTTGTTAGCTTCACATATACAAAGTTTGGTATTACGGCACGTGAATAGATGACGAAAGTATGCGACTGGTGCAAATATGAAAATCATGAGATGTTATGGTCCCTTACAGAGGGACGTCTTTTTTCTTCGCCTTCAAATTCTGAGGAAGCGGAGTTAACTGTATGTGTGCGGTGCTTAGTTGATGGGTGATGACTAGCGCTTGACTCTGTTAAGAAGCCCCTCATCACCCCGCATTCAAAAACGAGGAAGCGGTTTTCTCCTTGCCTTTTCTACCCTTTGCGTAGGCGATGCATCTTTCTCGTCACCTAATTCCTACGAGCACGTGTATACAGATTAAGCGCTGAGAGTTTAATCTACAAATATATCGTGATTGTCGGCTGCCCGTTATCTCCCCTAGGGCAGTCGAAAATACACAAAATGAAGTCAAATCAGTAGATCGCGCACGATACCTATGGGAGACAAAAAAAGAACGGATGAGCGGTTGCATGGTAAAGTGGTGGAGGAGAAAATTCAAATGTGACGTTTCGCGTATATAGAGCACTTGAGAGTTTACAGTCGTCAGCAAGTTCAACACGAACGCTTGGCAGCGTGTACTGAGACAGTTTGATTGACGCTAGTGCCGCGTACAGCTTTGGACTCTGTTGCCGAGATGTTACTAATGCATGCCGACATACTATCCAAACGTTCCGTGGTATTATCTCGGTGACAGTGCCTTGCGGCTTCCATCAGTCAAAGTACTCCAGATCAATCGTCACAGCGCACTATAAGACGTCATGAGAATCGCTGCTCTCGCGTTAGGAGAGAATAACGCGCTTGTTTTTTGCATTTTCAGAAGCTGGTGAGGCCATGAGGGGCTCTTCAACAATCAGGACTAATGCATATAATCTTTGCATATTCATCGCCCATGCTCTTTGACAATGGGGATGGGCACTACACTGCGAAGTCAACGAGTATGAGCTGTCATTTTCTCAGTCGGGTGTTTATTGTATAGTCAAACATCGCGAAACAAAGTGAAAGAAGTGAGTGTGACTGTTTTAATACGAGGGGCAACATAGCAGTTTTGCCAACAAACCCCGCTTCTTACGGGCGCCTCCAGGGTTCATCGGTGGCGTAGGCCGTATTGGTGGCAGGGGCCGTACAGGCGTCACCGGTTGTACGGGCCGTACGCGAACTTTGTCCCTGTAAGTACAGCACGAACTAAGAAGAAAACCAGACCAAAGAGCGAATGGGTGCGTCTTTATTCCACTCACGGCTCTTTCATTGGACTGATGCCGTATTCTTCCTTGAGGCTTGCGATCAGATCTGTCTTCTCCGCTTCGGACAGGAAACATGAACGAGCCGCGTTCAGATTCTAAACAGGAGACAACGAAGTTCCACTCAGTAATGTTCGACTGAGAGTGATCAAGTAGCTTTTTTTATGAGTACTTTGTAAATATATACAGTCAGACTTCAATATAATGATCACGGATAAAACTAAATATCGGTTAAAGCGATGTAAATGAAAGTCTTGCAAGTTAGGAATTATCTTTATAACAAATTTTCGCATATAACGGTTGTAAGATGCAACTTTGTTATGAGGTCTGAGTGTAAATACTTTCATGGCTGAGCGTGCGCACGGGGGCAGAGGGCTTGGCGGAGATGGCCACCCTTCTTATTTATATAAAAATACCGCTACGTTTGCACTATGCATATACTGAGTATATGCCGTGAGTGACGTGAATAACGTCACAATCCCGTATCGTAATTCATCAAATACTTCCCGCCAGGCAGGGGCTCATACCCGCGGTTGGATATGTGCTACTAGTTTGCGGGTATCTGCCCAAGGTGGTTGAGACTCAGTATCTATCCAGGATCGGGGAGAAGAAACATGGGTAATTTTAACGCATTAGCGTTAAGAAAAACCTGACATTATTAGCGTTGACGCGACGAATACAAAAAATAAATGTCAGGGTCCCAGGTGAAATCGAACTCCACTATTTTGGGTGGCAATAAAGTATTTAACTATAGAGCCACGCCAGGTCTCGGAACTACTTTTTGAATTGGCCGCAATGGTCGTGAAACGTCAATTGTGGTTGCAGCGCTGGCTATTCAAATGAGAAAAAAAAACTGGATGAGTACCCCTATGTTACAGCCGTCATGATGGATTAACGACAATTGTAGTTAGGTAACATCCTCTGAAGTTAATTTATGTAGTAGTGTCTAGGGCTGCCATCCTCGAGAGCACCAGAGCTTCGTATCAGTTTATCGCTTCTGGTGTTGCTAGTACTCATGTTTTGAGGTACAACTTTTGTGCATATATTTAGCATTCTTTCATGATGTGTCACTCAATAAAAACAACACGGCCATCTCTCAGAATGGTTTGCATCTGGGCTAATTGGTGATGCTGCTTGTCGAGTAGTTGCAGCTAAATTCAAACATTTACGCGCGAAAGAAAGCAACATGCTGTGTTAGCACCGTCCTTCTGTTTCTTTCCTTCGTGCTGCCTGTTTAAACAAAGCTGCAGCTACTCGACATGCACCTTTTCTGCGCATGCTTTGCATTACGTGAATTCCCAAGGTACGTGATATATTTGCCGATCTTTTATAATCTGTAATTATGGCATTTATGTGTCAAACAACAGAAAAGAATGCAGGAACTTACCGCCCTGATGAAATGCGCCTCAGTCAAGCCAAGCTGCCTTAGAAAATCATATTCGTCGTCTATAGTACTTCCAGTGATTGTGCTATCATCTTTACTTATCGAGAAGTTGGCGTTTTCTTCCGCGAGCCTGTAAATTATAAATTAAAGCTTTGTCACCGAAGCTGACCAGAAATGGACAGTCTTTTAAAGTATTCACCAGTTGGCGTCCTTCAAGACAGGTAATCTTTGTGTGCAGCAAGAGTAATAGCTGCAGTGATGCGCGATGAATTAAGGGATCTTCAGAATGCACATGTTTGAAAAATACATCATTGGGTACGCTTTTTAAGAACACAACGCGTAACTCACCATAGCAGGCCTGTTAACTTTAGGTGCTGTTTCATTCAATGAGCCGTTAATCTTTAAGCACAATTGCCGTCTGCGTATACCATGAATATAAACCCCCTAAGCAGGAACAGCCTCCCACCCTATAGATAACAACACATGTTACGATGTTTTATATTATTCTGGTGAACAAATAGGAGCCTAATACTGCTGTATTGAGACAACGTTTCATCGTTCTTACAATAAAAACTTCACGGGACGAAATACTTTTTATTGTTTTTCTGTAAAGTTGCCAATTTGTTAAAAACATTTTTATTTGTTAATTATTTAAATGGGAGTCCTGCCTCAAAGCCTTAAGTCGTCTGACAGGTGACTATAAATAATCATGCCTTCTATATTCATCGGAACCTTTGAAAACATTCGTTCACATCACACCACGTGAAAAAAAATATTTCTAAAGTATACAAGTTTACTGCAAAGTTTAATATACATTTGCATTCTACAATACTTTATCTGTTTCCTGATCATTTGAAGCAACTATATTTTGTGTCCACAGATGCATTATGAGTCACGCTTTTGTGTTGTTCCACGGGCATGTATACAAGGTACGATTTTCAATGGACAATCATTCTGCGCTACCACTTCTATGTTGCTACGCTTAGATTTCAGCTTTTTGTGACATTAGATGTTATTGCGCTTGTCATAGTGAAAATGCTTTCAGTTTTTAGAGCGGCCACGTCTATTGTCTTCGCAGATGGAAAAAGTAAATGGCGTTGCTAAGGCTTTAGTACTTATTAGGCACAATTAACGTAACGTTTCAAATTGTGCTGACAGCGGACGACGAGCCGTATGCCGTACCAGGTTGTCGGATAATCTTTTACTTTCAGGATAAGGGCGTGCATTGAGCTTCAGAAAAAAAAACTGTATATATAATCACTGCTAGGTGCCACTAAAATGCCTACCTGATAATTGAGTGCTTTTGCGAGCTCAGAGGGCAGCCACCGGTTAAGACGCTGGAGTAAGGGCAGGTCTCAAAGTGGAGGTTCTTTTCCTGCGCCATCTTGAATGTTTTCCCGGTAGGATCCTGGAAAACTCTGTATCCGTGGCCAACCCTGTCGCAGTAGAGCTTGACCATTGCGTCCATGACTGATTGGTAGCCACCACTTTCACCGGCATGTGCCGTTCTGCCAATGCCCAGGTGTTTTGCTCTCTGCGGCGTTGAAATAAGTATGAAGAAGGCCACGAACATAAAAGATCATTGTCTTTCTTATAAGGTCGCCATAACTAAGTGTGGCTCACTTTAAGCAGTGACCCATTTTCCTTGGCCTTGAATATTCTCAGACAGGAACAATTACGTTGTCTTCAAATGTATGCTAAACACAACTCATGCTTTAAGGGGACACTGAAGAGCAAAACGCGGATTAGTAAAGTAAAATTTCACAATCCTGAAGCACCACTATTATCGTGACAGGACGCTTGGTAAGCAAGACAACGTGCAAGAAGAAACTGCGAGTGTATACGCCATCTTGAGATTCCTGCACCAAACACCGTGACGGCATGAATTTTGATGGCGTTTACCGGGTTCTACATCACTTCTAATCGATAAAATTTAAGTACACCGTCATCTGCGGTCGCCATACTCCTAGCATACGAAGTTTGCGAAGATTTCATCGAGCCAATCATATGTACCGGTCTGTGTGACGACGAACGCTCACACACACAGCTGCTTGGGCAAGTCTGATGTCCGTGAAAATTTAAAAATGCCTTTGCTGCCCTTTTTCTTGGTGTCTCTTGATAATGACAGCGACATCAATCAGTGATTGCTAGCGAAATCAGTCCTGACCTATGAAAATGGGAATGCTAGTCATTGCAGGAAATTTGATAATTAAGTGGCTTGACTTATTTAAGCTTACGTTGGCGCACCTCGAACACTTGAAGTTCTCCCTTCGTAAATTCAGGCGTTCTTGCTTCGTCCTTTGCAACGTCGATGCCAACAACGCCTTTGTTTTGGTATTCTTCACAGAATTTCAAACATTCTCGTGACCATTCTGCAAAAAAAAGAGTAAGAAAAAAAGAGGGGCTGTCTTTGTAAATCTAGTGACCACTTTTAATGAAAAGTTCGGTTGCAACCCATAATAAAGATTCATGCAATACGCAGCTAACTGCACGAAAAGAAAGTGATGGACAAAGCTTGGTGCGAAGAAAGAGACAAAAAAGTTAAGGGAATCGGTCGGCCTCAAAGAGAGCAAATATTTATTGTCATTAGGTTTTCAATGAATGCATTGAAGTAGATATGTAATATATGTCCCTGTAGGCAAGGTATGTTTTACAAGCTTTACTGACAAACACAGCGAGTATAACAGCAATGCCACTGACAAAAGAAATATCAGAATAAAGAACAAGCAAAAGCAAATTAAAAATCGCAAAATATTAGAAGATACTAAGTGGTGCTACACTGCAAACCTTTATAACTTTTTATCCCGGGAACTTCATGCAAATAATTGCGTACATTTCATCCAAGAATTTCTCAAAGAAAAAGAAATATTCTAATATAGAATAAAATAAAATGATATATTTGAATAACAAGAGGTTTAGTGTATATCCCCAAGTCGATCATATCTCTACTAACGTGCCTTTGCTAAATTTATGGGAATATATTGTGCAATAACTGTAGACATAAACCTTCTGGACAGAGTTACCTTTGTATGGTCAAAAATATATTAATTCTGGCTTTCCGAGTGACGTGATTCGCTTCGTGTCGGAAATATTATATCAAAGCTGAAGAAGTTTCATCGGCGTGATTTCAGTGCCTCTGAACTTGGCAAGAAAAAGAGGCATGCAGTTATCCCATACATACACAGAATCGCGCATGGTCTGAAAAACGTTGGTGCTCGTTATGGCATAAACGTGCATAAAGTGGGTCATGTGTGACATTAGTTATTAGAGCGATGTGTCAGCCGCCATGGAAAGGGAACAAATGTCTCCAATCATGCTCACAGATATGTGCGTTGCGCTACTAGCATAGTTTGTGCCATTCCACAGTCTTTCGGCTGACAATACGAAGACCAAACAGGACGTTGCATAAACGTGCACTCTCGCATAAGCATGATTTGACGCTTTTATGTGCTGCGGCCACGTCTTGTTTGGCAGCACATTGCAGATCATGTGGGGGTGTGCCCCACTTGTAGAAAACAACTATAAGATATACATGTTGATCAATGCACGCTTAGAGGGCCGAAGTGTTTCTTCAATAGATTTATTGTTACGGCTACAAGTCATCAACACATCACTCCTCTAGGTGAAAAATATAATTAACTGTTAGGCAAGACATAAATCGTTCTGCGTTGTAACGCATGCGCACAGTTTTGATGAATTACTGTTTCTTATTCTTTTTCAAATAAAGTTCATTTGTGAGTTCAGCGCTGTGTTCCTTTCCAGTCCGTATTTGACCCGTTGCCCTGTAAAATATTCTACGATGAAATATACTGTACCCATCGTGCAGGATGGACAGCGCTCCGTTAAGTGTGCTTGAAAGACCCAGGCGTCAGAGCCACAGGTTGGCAAAACTTGTGGAGCTTACCAGACTCACTCATAAAATATATTTTGCTCTTAGGGCTCACTTTGACTCAAACTCAAACTTTTTAGGTGGATTCACTCGGTCTCACACTGACGACAATTTTCTTAACCGTTACATAACCAGACTCACCCAAACTCATGTCGACTCATCCGTCCCTAGCTAAAAATTATCTATTTCGACCATAGTTTCAGTGCTCTTTAACACAAATATCTCACATAATCGGTGTTCTTCTTGGTGCTTTTTTTTATAAAGTACCTTGGAATACGAGTTATAGGTGCTCTTAAACCGATAAGATCCTTCTTCTTGAGAGACGATAACATAAAATATATTTGTCAGGATACCGCTGGAGCAGTTGGTGGCAGGGGTTGAGGGGAGGTCACGGCCCTCCTCTACAGAATTAGCACTTCTAATGGATATTGAATTGGTGCATGAAATACACTGGTTTGAAATAGCCGCGAGTAGACTTTAGTAAAAGCGTGAATCCAGTTATGGCTGATAGTAATGCTGAAGAGGTCAGCCAAAAAAAAAAAAGAGGGAGGAACTAAGACTTACTCAAGAAATATATGTTGCACTTTCGACTCACTCGAAACATTTTCCTGAGCCGTGCTCATTCGGACTCATCACAAAAATTTTCTTCACTCGGACTCACACTCTCCAAAGTATTGCTCCCCCGGAATCAGCTCAGACAGATTCACGGCTAGATCAGAGCCTGAGTCCGAGCTGACTAGATCCTTAAATGAGTTCACTGACTTACGGACTCGAGGGTTCACTCGCTGGGAAGACCGTAGGTGTTTATTGTCTTAAAAGACACAGGCAACGAATATGAAAACACACGGTCATGAAGAACTTAATATCAATTGTCTTTCTCAATAATCATAACGTTTAGTGTATGTGAGCATCTTACTAAGCCAAAAAAATTTTCATAACCGTTTATTAGAGCCATCATGAAACTTTAGGCCAACAAGCTTAGAAATTCGACTCTAACCAACTAGTTCCGCAGAAAGGTGCTGCTGTCTGAGCTTCCTGAATTATGGTTTCTTTTCGATCTTAGCACAAAGTCTTTCAGAGAAGTACTCCAGAATAACGTGACATCAATAAATAATAGTACCAACACTGTTTTGAGCTGCAATAACAAAAATGACTTAATTTACACCTGTGCTCATATCTTAGAATGTCGCTGCCAAGTCTGAAGGTGTTATTGTGTAGCGATGCAGTGCACATGTGGTAGGAGATGGTGATATTGTATTTGTACAAAAGAAAAGGCCAATGATATAACACAGAATGAAGCTGGCAGAATACTGACATGAAACAGTAATAAACGAATCGAAATATAATAGTACAATAAATAAACAAAGTCATGACGTCTAACACATGACGTATAACATACTAAAAGAATTTCGTGCGACATCGGGACAATGCGATTGTGCATTAGCTGAAAGGTTCGCAAACGGCGTTCAAACGCATCACAGATACATTATATGACTGTTGTTTCTGCTACATTTCAAGAATTTACGAAATTGGTCACGTACCATCGTTGGCAATGACGCAAGCGAGAATCGATCGAACCTTTATCTGAAAATCGCACTGCCCTCTTCTCAGGCCGCAGTTAACAGCTTCAACGACTTGCTTTGGCGTCACATTATTTTCTTTCGATGCCAGGAAATGGGGAGAATAACGGGCCTCGAAGTACGCAACGCCCTCTCTCGCTTGGTCTTCGCATAGTTCATACGAAATTCTTTCGACAGCTTCCAAATCACCGCTGCAAAAAGAATAGAAAAGCACCCATGTATTGCTAAACCAAACTACACACAAACAACAATACAAAGCAAGGAATGCTCTCATAAACTACTGTGGGCATGACTAATGTCATGTGAACTACCTTCGAAGGTGGTGCATGCAATTTATGCTGTGAAAAAGGTCGAAACAGATGGCAAGCTTGCCCGCGCCTACTCAGAAATATTTGGGGGGGGGGGGATACGTCTTTGAAATAGTCATTTTTTGCTTTGTATACTACGGAAAAAAAAAAACTTTGGGACTTGGAGTGGTAGGCCACCCTTTGGCTACTCTACTTCAAGCTTGCGCGTGTGTCAAAAACACAGGGTTATACATGGCTTGACTATGTTCTAAAGAGCTTAAGCAAACAATACAAAACATACATCTCTCGGCTTGAAGATCATCAACCAAAGACTGTAGACAAGCTTGTGTTAGCTGAAAATTATACTTCGTGTAAAGTTAAAAAAATATGGGTCATGGTGGGCGCATTCTAGTCGGTGAGAAATGTAGGCTCAATCGTGTGCGTAGCTTTAGATGCACATTAAACAACTGCATGCGGTCCAAATTGGTCTCGTGCTAATTAAAGCAATAATGGGGGTGTATTGTTCCTGGAAAACAAAAGCAGCTGCTGAGTACAAGCATTCTATACGGTAAACGTTGTGCCTAACTTACACAAGATACCTCCGTATACTTACACAACAGTTGGCATAAATACCGCAAAGCGATCGAGAAAGTCTGCAAGGGTAGTCGAGTCCACCTTAATGAGCTTTCGTTTTGAGGTCAGCGAGGGATTTAACTCCAAGGTTGATTTTCTTTTTTCTAAGAGAAAAGGAAAAAAACGCACATAACCCTCAGTTGGAGTAAATTTGGTTGTTAACATTGTAATAAGCGTTTACGTTTCAGCTCAACGAATAACATGGCTTAACGACGTGCAAGACATGCTGTGATTAATACATGCAGTGGAGTGGCCTAATACATAAGCTAATGCAACACATCTAAGAATGAATTCGCAGACGCTGGATTGAGAACCCATACGATGTCATTTTATTTGGTCATTGTTGTGAAGTCCAGCTAACCAGATGGCAGCTTTATTAGAAAAAAAAACATTCTCAAAAAATTGGCCCGAATCTACATGTTACACTATAAATGTCAAAAGACGATAGTCTTGCGTCTGGAGAGAGTGAACAAAACGTTTATTTGATGTTCTGTGCAAGAAAATTGGTGAATGGTACTCTGAAGGCGCTGCGTTAGAGTGCCTCGAGCGTGTAACGGAGGCAAACAAGCGCATCTAGGCACTGTATACACGAGCGCCATCTGGCAGTTATCTTCAAAAACGAAGGCATGCGCAACCGCGCAGAAAGATGCGCGCCAGTCTCAGAGGTGATAAGGTGTAGAATGCAAAGCGAAGGGCAGGTGCCACCACCGTACTGTCGTAGCAAAGAGTTGGAAACACGTTCTTGAACATCGCGTTGCGCTGTCAGCGCGCTGCAGTGCGTCAAACGCTACAGTCCTTAGAGTTACTTGTGTGTGCCTCTTCAAGTATAAAGGCAGACATACAAAACATAGACATGTTGGTGCCTCAGATATGCTAAAAAATATTTAATATTTAATTGACAATCGCACAACTATGAACACTAAACCTTGAGCAATATTGGTGGGCGATGCGGATGGGGTTGGCCGTTTGGTGCCGTTTTAGGTATCGTAAGGGTAGACAAACAGACAAATGTACAGACACAGACCAAAATTTTTCTGCCCAAGGTCCCCAAGAACGACTATCGTCTTTAAAAAAACGCATTATTCACTTGCTGTTTATAATGTGAAGCTTATAGCTCTTGCTTAAGTTGCAGCCATAGTCGAGCATTAAAACGTAGGTTCTTGTGCCACTTTTATTCCTTCAGTTTAGCCGAATACGCGCAACCAAAGTCTACTGCGTCATTCTGTGACTTTTGAATAGCACACAAGGTGTGCAGTAGTGGGTCGTTGCCATTTAACTGCATGTAAAATATTGATAAATGCGGCTACATCTGTGGCTGGCTGGCTACCACAATAAATGTGGCAGATTTGGCCTTACGTCATCACAAGGAAATAAGGTACACAACTCTCTATAATACAACTGTGAATATGTCGCTCGCTATTGCTTTCGCTCATACGGACTTTTTAGAAAGACCCTTCTGCACAAATATTTGTGCAAGGGTCAACCTAGCCAATACACTTGCAAGAAAAGTGCTGCGCTCTTTATATGACGGCAATTCATATCTGTCACTGTACGGAATGGGATCATTGTTATTCTACGAGGAAAACCGATTCGCAACTGCAATGTTTATTCAGTGACTCGATGTACATTGTTTCGCTGTTGTCTGTGACGTCAAGGGTGAAATCACTGTTTTTTTTTCTGTACTTACTGTGCAAGTTCCCATATTGTTTCGTGTCGTATAGAGCCATCCAAGTGAAGATGGAGTTCAACCTAGCACACACAAACAAAAAAGTAAATGTGGCGTAGTTCTAATTTTTTTTAAATTATAGATGTTCAACAGTGGGAACGGCTCTACATGCACTGAACTTCCTCTTGATTGGTCATTTCAAGGACGTATATATGTCTGAGCTCAAGGGTTGACTGTATTGTTATTGCCGGAGTTTTTTTTTTCAATAAAGAAGTGTCAATCAATTACCTATACTAGAAGGCTGATTGAGTTGATTTGTAGTGGTGTAGCACAAAGTGAAAGACACACCTAAAAGTATGAAAGACACACCTTTTAAGTATTCGTCAGAAGTGTAAGGGAGAAGCCGTAATGTATGGGACAAAAGGAGATACAAAGCAAAATATATAAAACTCGTTAATAAAGATAACAAGCGACATCATTGTTCAGTGACTGGTCTACCCTTTTCTACTTCCCGACCATCCATCACATCACTGCACTGCATGTCCACAGTGCCACCAAGATGTACTCATACAATATATTGCTTATCTACAGTTGTGCCCTTCAGACTACGATTAACCAACTATTCTCTTTGTGAAGACTAAACCGTACTCTACTGTGCATGCCTATGATACGCAACACTCTAAATCAGGTCAGTTCCTTGTTGCACATATCACACACCACAAACACTCATCAGCCACCGCATGTTTTGCGGAAGTCGCTCAATACTCTTAAATAGTATTTCGGTCGAACAGATAAAGCATCTTGTTTGAATAGTTCTTAAAAATACACTGGTTCTTGTTTCTTTTGAATGCTAGAAGCATTCTTTCGTTATTTATACGAGTGTTCTTAAATTTAGCCAACTGAGCCCTGTTCGGAAACAAGTAGGATTCACTGCTTTTCAACCACCGTCGTGGTACAATTCTTCAGGTTGGTATTCTGCGTCCAGTTAATGCAAGGCATCTACATTATTGATGTGCCTCCGATGGTTGTAGTGCTGTGTTCGCAGGAGAAAGCAAGAAGAGGAACGGCAGGGGCTAACCACACGAACATCTGGTTTCCTACCCTGCACTTGCCATAAGAGAATGGGGATACAAAAGAGAAGGAGAGAAGGAGAGCACTGCACGTGCAAATAAGTACAGTCAGTCGGTTGGTGGGTCGGATGGTCGGACCACAGCTTCTCTGACCTGCATGATGTCAGCGTTCAGACATGCGACTGGGAAATTGCGACCTTGGAGAGGGTCGTGGGCAATCCGTAGGGAAGCACTGGAAACACTGGATTGAGAATTTCCAACAGTTTCAAGGCAGTTGAGCTGTCTGGAGTATTTAGCTATATTAAAAATAGTGTCCCAATAGTGTCCCGAAAATAGCATAAATATAGTGTCCCGGAGAGATTGTAGCGTCGCAGGGACATCCTGGTCTTTTTCGGTCAAGGCATGGGGAACTATAGTGCTGTCGTTGGCTCAATATTGACTCTGTCTGCTGCGGCCGTTCGATTCGCTGTGGATTGCGCTGTGGCTTTGACTGTGGGTGCGGTTTTGACTCTGGCTGCAGCTTTGCTACAATGTTGGCGAAACACCAGTGTCCATGTGCTGTGGTGCCGTGCTGTCCTCAGAAATTGACGGGGACACGTATGGTCTAAGAAGTCAAAGAGGTAGTGTTGCCCGTGAACTGCGTGTCTCAGACCCCCTTGAACCAATACGACGTCGGGAGTGCCGCATTTTGACAACAGCAACAGCTTATCGCCGAGAAAACCTGTAACGCACCATCTGCTTGAAGACGTCCTTTTCCTTCTGCATTTCGGGGCAGTCATTTGACGAAGTGTCGTGGGAGTCGAGGCAATTGCGGCACCAGAGCATCGTGGTGGCGCAGGAGTCGGCAGCGTGCGCTTGACGTAGCGCGAGCAAATTATTGTGCTCTTAAACGTGACGTTCACGTGTCCAAACGGCGAACAATTTTGGCATTGAAGTGGCTTTAAGATGAACGGTTGTACAGGATGCCGAAAGTGGCCTACCTTGACATGAGAGTGCTGAGATTCGCCTTTGAATGTCAGTTTTATTGCACAGCGAGATATGCCCATGCAAGATATATGTGTGATATTGAAGCCATTGGCTTAACAAAAGTTGTCAAGTCTGTGTTTGACACAGAGATGTCGACGTCATATATAGATGACACCAGCAGTGGTACCACTGCTCAATGGGATGTACGAGCGAGCTTTTATGCTATCAAATTCCGCAATTTTACTCAATGTGCTAAGTGCAGTCTCGTGTGCGACGTCTATAGCAAGAACATTATTTCGTGAGTTGGCTATCACGTCACTTTCTTCATTTGGCACCACAGCCTCTAGAAGCACAGAGACCGACTGCCTGTTGAGTCGCCGGTATCAAGCTATCCTACAAAATTATTGTCCTGACTGCGGTTTTCCGAGTGAATTTCACGGCAGATTTGCCTGAAGTCAGGGAGGACCCGGGGAGTTTGCGCTTCATCCTATGGTTTTGAACGAGTCGAAAGCCTTCGTAAGACCATTCCTCACTGCTCAGCGAGTAGACCATGGTGTCGCAGCTGTCCGAGGTGCTGTGGAGTCCAATGCGCTTCTTGAAGACTGCCACCGCGGACGCCGTCATTCCCGGCTAGGGCACGAGGACGTTTATACTAGCATCGGTTTAAGAACGAACTTCGCTAACTTGTGTGATAATTGAAAGTAATATGATAATCGCATGCTATGATAGTTTTAAAGTGTGATGCAATTAAAACAATACGAGAAAATCTTGAAATTTCTATCGTTACCCCTTAATATCATCCATTGTATACGAAGCGCAAACAAGGTCGGAAAGAACATGCCTATGTGTTTTCTTGCGCATATAGGCCTAATTACTCTTCGGCAGTAAGTAGATCTAGTTGAACAACGCAATAATAACACTAAATACATTAATAACATAAATAGTTAATAATTAACATAATAACATAATAATTAATAACACTAAATACATTAATTCAGGTTGCATGAATCGACATAATGTTATAAGCATGCTGAAAAATGTCGGGAATTGGTGAAAAAGCTGAAGTGCTTGAGGACATCTCCGTACCCTAGGATCTTTGAAATTGTCGACCACGAAAGCCCGTATTTTTTTTGGATGGGAGAGGAGGAAGAGAATAAAAGAGCTAGAAGGTCAACCAGATGCGCGTGCGGTTCGCTATCCCACGCTGGCTGAAGGGAATTAGGATATAAAAAAAAGACAGAAGTAAGGCTACGAAAATTTGCGTTTGCGAAAATTTGAACACAGCATATCCGGCGTATCGCTTTCCGCTGTGGACAGTTGAGTGATGGTGCCTACTGAAGGCTTCCAAATACTGCACCTAGAACATCCAGTACCTGTTGCATGGCGAAATTCATTTGCAAAGTGTGACTGAAGCACTTTACAGTGCTTCAATCACACTTCTTTGGTTCGCCCTTTTTGAGGAACTTGTCGGTTGGATATTCAATATTCGCTGTTGACAATGTGCACTGGCGATCTATATGTCACTGAGACGTCGGCAACGTGGGCCAAGCTGCGTCAGTTGTGCCTGTGCTTTCCTTGGCGTTTGGGTTAGTATACGTTTAGCATGTGGCTTCGACAATGTAGGCCGAGAAGAATCCAGAGTGACCATGCTTTTAATGCACTCTATTTCGTACCGAACGTGAAGGGACCGGGTAGCTAGAGAGCTAGGAGACGAAGCAACTGTTCAAGATGTCGGCTGCATTTTTGATGGAGGCACATATGCTGTAGGGCCGATGTGCTCAGATTTTAGTGCACGTTAAAGAAGCCTAGGTGGTCAAAATTTTTGGAGCCCTCCATTACGCCGTCTCTCATAATGATATAGTGGTTTTGGGACGTAATTAAACCGCACATATCAGTGTACAAGGTGTGGTGAAATGCATAGGCCATTTTGTAATGAACTTTGATGCCAATGGGGAAGACTTTAGATGGGGTCGGCATCATCAAAATGCCATGTATGGTGATTCCTCGCCATTTGGTTCAATACAGATAGTTTTTTTTTTTTCATTTTTGAGAACTATCCCTGAGGAAGCTTTATGGTGCCCAGTGAAATTCGAACACCCCAGTACACTGGATTTTCAGTTGTCGGCGGAATGGGTTCCAGCGCAGAGGAAAACATACTCGTTTATTTTCTTACATGCTTCTCACGTGACCTAGTTTAACGCAGATGTGGCAGTGCAGTCGCTTCCATGCAAGGTGTCTTAGAGGATGTTGAAAGTAGCCCACCTTTACATTCGAAGGTAGAGGGTTGCTTTTAGTTGAAGCCCCGTGAGGTAAGCAAATTGAGCAACCTTGATGATGGCGCTAGCTTAATTAGCTGGCTTGAAGACGCCACACAGGTCGGCTTCGGAAATGGCAACGTCAACGTCGTTGGCTACAACGCCGGCGATGACGTGGGAGCCCACCAGGATGTGCAGAAGCGGACGTTGATTCCATGTAGTTTTATGACATCCTCCAGTATTTTCAGTGTGGCAGCATCCAGAACATCAATCTCGATGACTTATTACAGGGGTTCACTCTGATGTCAATGATTTCGTCTGGCTCCAGTCGCTCTAGCAATGCCGAAATAGCTTGTCAGTTGGAGCGATTCGTCATACTGATGGGGACAGTATGAACAAAAATGGCGGTGTTGGCTTCAGGCCTGGGAGGCGCATTTTCCTTTCTTGTGTTTGAGGGTAAGGATGTTCTGGTGGTACGTGCCGGATGTTCGGAAGAACTAGTTGCTTCACAGAAAGATATTTTGCATTGCACATAGTCAGTGCCATTTCTAGGGACGGAAACTCTCCTTAAAATTATTGCCAGTTGTAGCGAGGCCCATGTGGCTTCCTTTAAGCAAACCCTTTCCCTCATTCTAGCAGTGATAGACATAATGAGAGGGCATCAAGAGATAGCCATCTGTGCCTATTCATAAAAATTCCCATAGCGCCCTGGTTGCGACACTTCTAGGGAGGTTTAACGTCATCTCTTGAGCATGATTTGTACTTATCAAAGTTTCAGGAAAACGTCTTGTA